CCCCAAAACCCCAAAACCCCAAAACCCCAAAACCCCAAAACCCCTTCACTAGAAATACAGTTGAAGATTACCTTACTAACTTTTATTCGAAAACTGGCTAAATGGAGGTGAGTATGGTCGATTTTGAAATGCTAGCCTGCTATTCTGTGCTTTTCTAATAATCTCAACTTTCCCAAGGTCTCTGCTACTATCGTCATCAGGCTCCTCATCAATCGAATCGTAGTTTTCATATTCTTCAAACTTCGAGAGGCTGTCGATCAGACGCATGGCAGCTGATCCTTCTCTTGGTGAAGGATCATCCTCTAAATTTTCATTAATTGCAAACTCTTCTTTAATGTCCTCCTCGCTGAGCATATCTTCGTTCTCCCAGGAGTTAAGGAAGCGTTTAGAACTGATCTTTTTCATCTTTTTAGATTTTATAGGTTTATTTGCCAGAAGAAAACCTGAAATTTTTGGAGGGAGGTGGAAATGGCTTGGTGGCAAAATTGCTCTGTGAGGGATTTATAGGGCCTGGAGTTGATTTTTTGAATCAGTACGGACTGTTCCGTACCTTAGGAGGTATTATAGCTTTCTGAGGGTGATGTCTGTGATGAATTTTGGAAGTAGTTGGTGAGATCCAAGGTTTCTTAGGGTTGAGATTTGTGCTCTTCTCTGTAGAATAATGATCATTTTTAGAGTAAGCAGTTCCAGTGTTCTGCAAATACTTATTTTCTATATTTTGGATATCTTGCTTTTTCGTCCTAATTTTCTTTATAATATCATTGATTTTAGATTCCTGGAAATTAGCAAATTTATTCCTCCTTCTATGAAAGAAGCCACTCCTCTTCTCAGATGCCTGGTTCTGGTCCAACTCCACTGAAGTATTATGTTCATCTGTATATAATTTCTGATGAATTTTAAGGCTGTTTGGGTTAGCACTTCTTAATTTCTTCTTTGGAGCTATAAAAGCGTATAAATACCCAAAAGATCAATAAAAATAAGCTGAATTACCTATTCTCTGATTATTTTGGTATCTCTGGGCTTTATAGTTTACATATGCAGAGCTATTATTCTGTTGGCGATTATTCCTTGAATAGTAGAGAGCTTCCCCTGAAGATCTATTTTCATTATCAGTGTCATTATAGATCTCAATAAATTCGGATTTATTGGATTGCAATCTAGAAGTTATGCTATATTTTACCTTTTCTTCACGTTGTCCAAGTTTTGCTTTCCAAGTCTATCCTTAAGCCATGAGTCCTTGACCACAGGAGGTAAGACAGGGATTGAGCTAGTATGGCTAGTAGTCGCTGTGGTTGGTATCTTCGACCCTCTGGACTGTGCCACTGCATTATTAGCACTAACCTTCCTAATGACAGTGATATTAGGACTCTCTTTGCTATTCTTGGGCCTCTTCATATACTTCTTTGCCTTCTCAGCCTCTGTATAAGGTGAATGGTCCATTCTATTTGACTCTTTCCGACTTCCAGTAGGATTGCTCCTGCCTATATCATGCAAAGGATTGATCCTATTTTTCTTATTTGTATAACTGTTTTTATACTTGTTTACAAATTCAGGAGAGTTCTTCTATACATAATAGTGAATTAGTGAAGCACTATTGGGGTAAGAAATAGAACTTGCTAGGTTAAGTTCTTCATTCAGCCACTTCAATGCCACAAAGATCCTAGTTAGCTTAGGCAAATCCATTCCAAATAAAATTTGTGTGATGGGTTTATGGTCTTAGCTAATTTTCTAGAAGTTCTATGGCGGTTTAAATCCTTACTCTAGAGTTGTTCTTGACGGCTCTATTCTTCAAAGCGTAGTGGGATTCCTTGTGTTTGAGATCCTTCATAAAATTATTGTTGTATTGGTCTTCATCGAAGTCACTATAAGTTAAATATTAGACTCAAGGAGAGCAGAGCTAGACAAAGTGACTAAGCCAGATTTAGGAAAATTTGGAATTGATGTATCAAAGCGTTTGGATCCAAAGCTAGAAAACAAGTTTTATACTATTTAGTAACAATTTCAAGTAATTCAAAGAAGACTGATCAATATACAAGCCTCAACTCAATTTCCCTTAAGCCCACCCCAAACAGATCTCACCTAGTTTCATCTTCTTCAAGCTCATTAATCACAAGTTCTGTGCTAAATAGCTTCTCCATTTCCTCAAAAAAAGCTGCTACTTTAGAGGCGTAGCTCCTCTGTATATCCAGTTGTTTGGGAAACTTATAAAGTTTCTGCTCAACGGACGATCTGATCGAGACGAATAATTTATTTAACATTCATGGCACCAGGGAGTTCTAGAGTTTAAGAAAGGTCATTACTGTTTCTGTGACAAAGGTTGATCCAGTCTTCACATGTGATGCATTCAATCGGCATTACTCCTTTGTACTCCACAGTCCCTGGAAATGCCTGGCGCGAGGAAAATCAGATATCCTCAGTGTCCTTTGGCTTCGCTATAGACTCTGGTTAGGGGGGATGGTGTAGCCTGGTGGCCATCAGTGAGATTTAGGGGAAATTAGGTGGAAGAAATGGAGATTTAGCAGAAATTTTGGACTTTTTGGAAATAATTACTTACTACAGGCATTAAACTCAAGATAAGCAATATCATCTTTATTTATAAAGAGTTTCAAATTGATGAACTTCCTCTTCCGATTTTTGTTTGGGTTGGTCTCAATGCCTTCTCTTAAGATCTTGCGTAGCTTGTACTCTGGGATGACCATGTTCCTATTCAGACCTAAAAGCTTTGTTATTATTCAGTAAATATATGGATCACCAAGGTTTGAGGAGGAAGCCATACCTAATTTAGAGCTCATAGTTCCTTCTAAATAATTTATTTAACTTTCTACAGTAAATAAGTTTAAAGGGGTTTTGGGGTTTTGGGGTTTTGGGGTTTTGGGG